GGCTCCTTTTCCATCGATTTTCGTAAAACTTGATACCAGTGGGTATTTTTCAACCAGAAACTTGAATTTTTAGTCACTTTTTCAAAATTCGCAAATCCAAGATAGTGGATGTGGCGTAAAATGATATCGCGGCTCCTATTGCAACAATATTCGTGGAACTTTGTACCAGGAGGTATTTTTCAACCAGCAACTCGAATTTTCAGTTAAGTTTTTGAAATTTTAAAATCCAAGATTGTGGACGAGGCCCAAATTGCTATTTTAGCTTCTGAAATTGATAAATTTATTTTTGTTAAACTTGGCCCCGTTGTCTCAAGTAGCCTATGAGTTGTGCTGAAACTCTCTCATTGGGCCAGATTAATGTTCACTTTATTTGCGGCTGACCGCAAATCAACCAAACGCAAGCTGTGATGACAAAAGTTGCTTTGAACTACGAAAAATATCGATAAATTTAAATCGATTTTTTAAAAAAAATTTTGTCTATATCTTGCGTCTTTCCGATAGTAATGTTGAAGATAGGAGATAAACTTTAAATTAATGTCAATAAATTTTACTGGGCGTCTATATTATTTGGGATATTATGGCCATAGACCAGAAGAGGTGCTCTGATGTGGTGGCTCTAAGAAGAGCCGTTGAAAAGGGCAAGCCGGCCGGCTGCGAGATGTCCGCTGGGATGAGTGATGTGGCCCGTGTGGCTGACGGGAGCGGAGTGTCTTGAGGCGGTGAGGTCACGACATGTATAGCCGTGGTTGAGACTGCGGCGGCCAATCAGGAGCGAGCATGGGCTGCGTCGCCAGAGGTGAGCGGTGATTGGCCGCCACAGTACTTCCCTGCGGTTGAGACGGAGTCTCTGTGGGTGGTTGGAGAAGTGAGTGGTGAAATTGGATGTTGGAGTGGAAACAGGTTTGGAAAATGTGTGTAAAGTGGTTGGAAAGTTGAGGATTGAGTGAGAGATGATGAGAAGTTTGAGGATTTGATTGAGTGATGATGGCGAGAGTTGAGGGATGGTTGATTGAGTGGATTGAGAATTGATTGAGTGGTGAGAAGCAGGAGGTGTGTGTCAGCGTGCCGGGGAGCGCCATTCGACCCGGGTGACACACGGTTGAAGTTTTGTGACCATCATCTTTCCGGGCAAAGAGGTTGATGCTCGGGACAACAAGTTGGGAACGTGCTGTGTTCTGCGGCAACTTGCTGGAGCGTGTTGATTTGCGCGACGGAGAGAGATGGATACGATGCGGTGATGATGCTGGAAGCTTTCAATGTTCATGCTAAGATGATCAAATATGACTGTTCCAGTGAGAGATTTGAGTTTGAGTGCTTGAGTACAGTTGACTTGTGAGAAGGTTGAGCGTGTTCTTGAGTTGAGGATCCATGAATGAAGTGAATCAGAAGGCTGAGCGTGTTCACTCACGTCGGGAGTCACCAATATGGCCATAGACCAGAAGAGGTGCTCTGATGTGGTGGCTCTAAGAAGAGCCGTTGAAAAGGGCAAGCCGGCCGGCTGCGAGATGTCCGCTGGGATGAGTGATGTGGCCCGTGTGGCTGACGGGAGCGGAGTGTCTTAAGGCGGTGAGGTCACGACATGTATAGCCGTGGTTGAGACTGCGGCGGCCAAACAGGAGCGAGCATGGGCTGCGTCGCCAGAGGTGAGCGGTGATTGGCCGCCACAATATTATTTTATTTTAGGCGACGAATGTTTATATTTTTAGCTTCACGGCTCATATTTACATGGAAATTTTTTTGGCGGGATGAATATAACTCACAAATATTTTATGGCGTTTCTATAATTCGTTCAGTAACTAAAACCCAGGATAAACCTGAATGTGACTTTGCAGATATATGCTTATGGCGCGCTCTTCCAACACCGTGTGTTGGATTAACCAGCTTGTTTATTAATATATTAAGAATTACTTAATTTTATAATTGCAAATTTAAACATACTCAGTTAAAAGGTAGTCAATTAAAGCTGAGACTCATTAAAATTGCGCTGACCGCTTCTCTTCTGCCCACGTATTAGAGCTTTCCCGCTTGTTATATTTTTGAAGTTTAAAGAGCCTCGCCAAGTTTAGCGCCTTTTTTGGATACCCGAGTTGGTCAACGGAACAAGGCTCAAATGAAAGCTTATAGTCAAGCATACTTCCATGCAAAGTTTCAACTTGAAGTGACCCCTCGTTTAGGCTGTACAGCGTTGCCAATTGTTCATTTTGATGTGCTGAAATTAAGGAATTCTGGACTATTAGTCCAGTGCATCATAATTAAACAGACTAGTGCATCGGTCCACAAGCTGAATACTACACTACCCTGAAAATGTATACAAATATAATTAAAGGTCATCGCGTGATCTTCTCGAAGCAGTGTTGCCAATTTTTTATTTATTTTTTTAACATAAAATGAGGGTATTTTCGAGATTTTTGGCGGAAAACGTACCTTTATGGGCCATAACTTTGACGAGTATGGGCTAAAAACATTACCATATGATAGTAAATGATCGCTACTTATGAAAAAAATTGAATTCCTAAAGCAATGTTGCCAAGTTAATTTTCATTCCTTACAAAAGTTAATGATATTCTCAAGTGAATGCTCGGTAAACGTAATTTTCAAGCAACTTCTCCCATCCTGCGGGCCATAATAAATACCACCATATCATAGTACACGATTACTGTTCAAGGCAAAAATGGAATTTTCAGACCAACGTTGCCAAATTGTGAACATTATTTTACGGTGAGACGCCGATATTTTTGAGTTTTTGGCGCAAAAATTGTACTTACCCATAGGTGCTTTCGCCATACGGTGTAGGCAAAATACTACCGTACAATACTATCGGCTTGGTTTCTAAAGGAGAAGACGAATTTTTAAGCCAATGTTACCACTTCATGGCATTTTTACGATAAAATGAAGATATTTTTCAGCTCCATTTTTGAAAAGCGAAACGTGATTCCAGTGGTTTTCTCTGTTATGGGAGGCTAAAGGGCCTCACGCCATTGTATTTAGTTTCGTTCATACCAAAAATTGAATTTGCCTGTACTCGTCAAAGTTATAAAGCCCATGAAGGCACGTTTTCCGCCAAAAATCTCGGCAATACCCTTAATCTATGTTAAAAAATAGATAAAAAACTGGCAACACTGCTTCGAAAAGTTCACGATGGCCTTTAATTGCGTTTCTATGGATACTATTCAGCCTGCAGACCGATGTAAAAGTCTGTTTAATTATGATGAACTGGGCTGATATTCCAGAATTCCTTGATTTTAGCACATGAAAATGGAAAATTGGCAACGCTGTACATCCTAAACGAGGGGTCACTTTTGGGTCAAAGTTGAAACTTTGCATGGAAGTTTGCCTTACCATAAGTTTTTATTTGAGCCCTGTCTCGCTGACCAATTCGGGTGTACAGATGGGGAAATAGCCCAACTCGCGTTGATATCTAGAATGCCCTGGGGTCGCGATCACCGGCAAGTACGCATAGGATGACCCGTGACACAGCCTGACAATCATCCGCGAAACTGACCCCTCCTTGGCCGCTTGGTTGCCGCTATATTGCGGCGCCAAAAAGCTCTGGCCCTGATGCGGCACGCGCCAACCAAAACACCTGCCTGCGTTCACCTCGGAAATACGCGATCTCTCACGTATATCCGAGGTGCTCCTAACAGGGGCGTACTCTCTAGCTAGAATGCGTCTCTGTTACACGCCCCTCCCTGAGAAAAGAAAGAGAAGAAAAAAAAACAAAGCGGTAGGTGGTGCACTGAACCTAAGATTTTTGAAGTCACGTCACTCCATGCGTGCCTCTCGGCAGTCAGTACCCCTGCATTACTGTATTCAGATACTTAAAAATAGGTTACACAATTTCAATAATCCCCCCATAATTTGATTTTTACAATTTCATCCCCAAACTAATAACTAATTTACAAAAAAAAAACTGATGCATCCGCTCCCCCTGAGTGATCTGCCGAGCGCGAGCAGCCGCCAACTGTCGGTTGTCCGAGCGCCTTGCCGTTACTCCAGAATCGCCATCCGTCCAGTCCCTTGTGCGTGGTTTGCCATTGACCCTCGTTCGTTACGCTGCAGAAAAGGTTCCCAAGAAAAGTAGGTTGCCAAGATTGAGAAAAGAACGCCCACAAGTCGCGCCCACCACACCAACCATGAAGAGGCTTCTAACGTTGACATCTCCCGGGTTGACAGAAAATGTCCGCTACCATGACTGAGTGAAGAACGCCAAAAGTTGCGCCCTCCGACCATGTAGACTTGCAGAGTCTTCCGCTGCTTGACAGCCCGGTATGGCCAAAGACCAGAAGAGGTGCTCTAGTGTGGTGGCCCTAAACAGGGCCGTTGGAAATGGGGCTAGCCGGCCGGCTGCATGATGTCCACAGGTGAGAGATGTGGTCCGTGTGGTTGACGGGAGCGGAGTGTCCAGAGTCCGTGTGGTCACGACGTATATAGCCGTAGTTGAGACTGAGTCGGCCAATCAGGAGCGAGCATGGGCTGCGTCTCCAGAGGTGAGCGGTGATTGGCCGCTACACCGGGAATAGAATGAATCTCGTTCTCGCAGTAGCCCCAGATTAGGGAATCCTGCACCACCATAGGCCCTCTGGATGACACCATCCTAGGGACGTAGACCAGCAGCCAGTCTGAGAGACGATGACGTATGCTCCAGAAATACCTCAAGACCAGAAAACTAGCATAGTCCTGAGGCTCCACGATCAGTCAGACCAAGAGATGAGACCCAACGGCCGGGGCGGGTATAAACAGACAGCTCCACAATATTGCGCAACTTGCACCCGGAACTAGACATTTAAACGATTCCCTCTGTGCCAGCACCCCCAACCGACTGCTGCATCATCCTGGATCCCCATTGCCACTCAAGGGAATTGGAGCACCTCAAAATTAGACTCATTAGAGGCCGAAACCCAATAGGTTTCTGAAATGAACAATTACATACATTACAAAATGCATTTTTACAAATCAAAAATAAACTGAGAGGAAGTCCTAATTTAAAAAAAAAAAACAGAATAAAAGACACATAATAAATGGAATCTAAGAATAAATAATCTGCATACTCGCATTCTAAAAGAGTGTGGTTCATTGCTTCAACTTTGATATTTTTTAGCCTTCTTTTTAAAAAACTCAAACCATCGTAATGTTCTCTTATTTATAAAATCCTTAGTCCTAATTATTTAATTTTCATACAGCTAAACCCCCTCATTCCCTGGTCTCTTGGGAAGGAGGGGAGGGGGTCAAAACTCGACGCCATCCACCACCGCCATTTTGTATCAGACAAAACAGACGGAAAAACTGTCCATCCTTTTATGACAGTAGAAAGATGAATAAAAACTGGTACCTAACAAAAGTAGGTAAAAAATTTCCTGCTCAGCAAGATAATCGATTCGATCGCCCTGCAGACGGACTTCCAATAGTCGCGGATGTATAAAATATGCTATTAAAATATACCACAGGAGCATCTTATAACAGACGAAAGTCACAAAAACTGTCCGATTTTTTAATTCCGTAAAAAGTCAAAGAAAAAAACTCCGGAACAGAAAATGTTTAATTTGTTTATTTTTTTTTGTAGTTTTCAAAAAAAAATCTGAAAATCAAAGAATATTTTATCGTGGCCTGTAAAAAAAACATCGTTATTAGGATAAAAAAGTTATACGTTTTGATACCGAACATCCTGGATTGATACTATCCCCCAGGATTGAATTTCCTCCTAAATCTCCAATCCTTAGGAGGCAATCTCCTCCGAGAAAAATTTTGATGCAAGAGTTTTGATGCCTCTATTCCAATTTCTTGCTGATCAAAATGACCATTTTTTACAATAGAACCTACGAATTCCTTAGGGAATATTTGAATAATGTGAAGATATCCTTCCTGAGTTTCAAATGCGGCTGGTTTCTCCTCATATTTGCAAATCTTGAACGTGTCGGGATCTCCACGCTTCGTAATGTGCTCGACAATTCCTTCGTTCGTGCCAATTTCCATGGAGGTCTCTGAAACACTGCTCAAAGAAGCATTAGACCCAAAATTCTCTTCCTTTGTTAAAAACATCTCCTCAAACTCAAGCACGACGGTTTCTATTTCTCGTTTACTACTCTCAGGCAAGTCCGGACGTTGCCTACGGTATTTGCATAAAAATTTACCCCAAAAATCTTTCTTGTAGACGGTTTTTTTTGCTAAATGGGTCAGTTGCGCTGGTCACAGAATCGTGTTTCGATGATAAAATAATAAGATATGTCCGGATAGCAACTCTCTACGTTCGATATTAACCGAGATATCACGCTTTGAAAATTTCGGTTTATGACGTCATCCCCCACGGCAGTGACGCCCTTGGTTTCTTCCACCATGCTTGCATTCGAGTTTTACATTGAGTACAAATGTGCGTCACACCAATTGATGAAAGCAAGGCAACGGTCCGGATTAATGTTTACACCTAGTTTCGCAATTCTTTTGGCGTTCGTTGGCGCGTCAGTGGCACTCGCTCCACTTTTGTTTTCGCTTACCTTCAAGCGAATTTTCGCGATCGAATATCATTCACCGTTGAATGATATTCGACGATTGTGCATTTTTTTTCAATGATATTCGACTTCTTCGTTGGTCTCACCAGAGACCGTTGAAATCCATCAATTTGAAATTTCGAATTCACCTTGGGACTTGAATTCGATTTTTGAATTGATGCAATCGATGTCAGAAACTTCATCTCTCACCAAAATTTTTGTTCTGTCATCTCTTTCTGTTGTTGTGTTTTGTCAATTCAAGTCTGAGGTTTTCGCAATTTCTATGTTTTAGTGTTTCGTGTTTTCTTATTTTCTTCTTAATTTCATTTAGGAAAAAAGTCTAAGCTCTGATTGGCTCCTGACATCACCGATCATCGGCATCACTCAGCACTGATCAATTCGTTTGATGAATGACGTTCGATCGCGAAAATTCGCTTTTCTCCATTTCTGTGTCAGCAAGGTCAGCGTCACACTCATCGTGAACCGAAAAACACATATGGACGGAGTTAAACAGAAAGGAACCAAGCCACATCGGGATCGAACCGAGAAAAAGAGATTTAAAGGTTAGCTCCTGCATAAGACTCAATGTAAAAGATAAACTTCAAGATTCAAGATTCAAGATATTTTTATTGCACCGGATAAAAACATATGTATAAAATGTTGTGATACAATTACATAATTAGTCATAAAAGCATAAACTTAGTGTTAGAAATCATCAATATCATAGATGCACTTTGGTACATTAAGGAATTCAAATCTAGGTAATGCTTGAAACTGCTAATTGTTTCACACTTTATAATTTCATTAGGTAATTTGTTAAAGAGTTTAATACCTGTATTTAAAAAGGATTTTTGAGTAAAGGCATTCTCATTTTTCAATACACTTAGCTTATTCCTATTTCTTGTGGGATAATCATGTACATCGGATTGTTTCTGGTAGTCAGATTGATGAGTAAATACATATAGACAGGTATGAGAGATATACAGCGAGGGGACTGTAAGAAGTTTCCTATTTACAAATAAATTCTTACAAGAGGTATCTTTCAAAAGATTAAATATTGTTCTGAGTAGTTTTTTTTGGATGATGAAAATTGTTTCAATATGCGTTTTACTGGTAAAGTACAGGATTGAATATCTGACTAATGAAAGAAATAGGGTGAGGTAAAGATTTGTTAGAGAGAGAGTTTCTAAGTATTCTAAATTTGAAGATAATTGAGTGAAGTTTATTTGAAATTGCTGATAGTTGTGTATTGAATTTTAAGTCTTGATCGAAGAAAATTCCTAGAAATTTTTGAGAGTCAACTATGATCAGGCTGATATTATTCATCATAATTGTGCTTTGATTAAATCTAGATTTTGGACAATTGAATATTATAAGACATCACTCAAAAAAAGCTCCGGCCGTGGAGGCCAGAAGCAGCGGACCTGGAGCACGGACTGGATGGGCTATATGGCACTACCGTTCGCCTACGCGCTTGACGGCCGGGTTGCTACGTGCGGGGACGACGCGGATTGCTACGGACATGAAAACCGTAAGTCGCGGCCTCGAGCGGCATAGGCAGCTTGCGCTCTCGGCGCTACTTACGGGCTGGACGGCCGGAGCTCTGCGCGCCGCCGCTGTCCGCGACGTGGTGGATTTTTTCGGAACTACAGCTGAAAACTCACCTTTAAAATACATAGAAAAGAAAAACTTTCCAGCAAAATTTTGAAACCTTGAATGAATTATCTTGTGTCAATTTCTGAACAAGATTTCTTTTTCTTCCTTTCTTTTTAAAATAGGTACATATTTCTTTGATGATAGTTCATAACAATTTAGTTTCAGGAAAGTGATGGATAATTCACTGACTGAGAAAGAAAAAGAGCATATGAACGTTAGCTTGTTGATCATGTTTCAGATATCAAGAGAGATTTGAACTCCTTGGCTGATAGTTCAGCAAGTCAATTTGAGAAAAGAGATGAAAATTAGAGAAGAGATGATGCGTATTGAGAAAGAAAATCAGCATATGAATGTTAGCTTATTCATCGTGTAGAGATATCAAGAGAAATTTTCAAAAACCTAACTTTAATGTTGCAAGCCTTCCTAGAAATAAATAAAGCACTGGGGAAGCACTGGAAGGAACAAATGTAGATACATCAAAAATTCTTGCTACCTATTTTAAATGTAGAACAGACTGCCCAGGGTATGATAAATTGCTAAAACTCATTGCAGCGAAAAATGTAAATTGAAAAATCATTTTTATCACTTGGCAGCCCGTTCTCAATAAATGTAATTACTTTCACTCAATGAGAATTCAGCATTTGTCAAAAACAAAACCTGGTTCATCCCTCAATGAAAAATACGAATGCAAAGTAGGAAATCACCTAAATGATTAACAAAGGAAAACCACAGACGTAGGTCTAGGTACTTACAGATTTTTACTCCTTACGACTAGAAGAGCTTCAGAATCTTGAAAATGAGGTTGAGAATATTTCAAAGTGTAAATTCAGTAGTAAAAGTTGACAAAACTTCAAGATATAACTCTCCGCAATAACTACCGGATACAATTTCCACAAAATATTACCTAAGAAATATACCACCGAAAATTGTCACACTTGTTAAAATTATAGATCTTCCCTTCAGCAAACTGAAGCGCGATTCACACAAAATTTTACCACTATTACAGTAACACTGAGCTCCCTAGAATTGAGATATGGAATCAGAGAGATTATTCACAGCAACAACGTTCGAGCTTGCTCACACTATTAGATAATCTGCGCAGGATGGGATCTGTACAGTTTCCGCTATCAAACAGCTGTTTTTGTAACAGAGAGGGAAGATGTCAGAGACTGCAATACTACTCACAGTTGAAAACATTTATGAGTTAGAGATTAGATCGAAATGGAATAAAAACTGTATCCTCTTACACAGGCAGAACAAAGCAAAAGCAGTGATGATAGAATACAGTCAGCAATAAATGGATATTCTCGTGCCTACATTATCAGTATTTTAGTGTGGCGGTAATTTACTCTGTGGGAAGATGCGTGGCAGGTAATTGATTGCTTTTCTTTAATTTAAGTTCTTTCCCTTAGTAGGGGGAAAATAAGTGAATTGCAAACGAACTTACTTACAGGGGGAGAGGATATGAGCTCAGTGCGTACCAAAACTGGCAATTTTCACTTAACTCTCGTCGCATTTCCGAAAGTATTTGACAAGCGTTATCACACAGAACTTTAGAATCAATCGTGCACCACACAGAATCAAGAAAATATATCGGGAACCTCCAAAATTAAACGAAAAACGAACACACGTAATGAGCAATGACCCAAAATGACCAAGCAATTTAGTGACTAGATTCTAACCTCAATAAACAACGCTGAGTGGTGGCTCCCGAATATGTTCAAGGCTGGCGGCAACTTTAAATTCACGCACTGAATAACATTGACGTAAAATATAATAATTTTCTGCGAATATACACGGAGCCGTCTCAATTTTAATCTGATGGTGACGCCATTTTCCGAAAACTGAATCTCACCTCACTGCCAACGGCCGTGGAAGCGGTTGGTTCCGATCCTGAAACCCGTAACTTACGCTCGGCTCCTAGCCGGTCTTACGGCCTTGGAGGCCGCGCGAGCTCTAGGGGACATCGGCCGCGGCATTCGGTACTAACTGGCTTGCGGCGCGTTAACACCGGGATCACCAGTGTCCAGAGCAACCGGGTCACAGGGCCGTAGTTTTTTTTTTGAGTGATGTTTTATTAAAATTAGGAATCATATAATTGTCAAAGAACCAGTCAGTTAGCTTTTGAAAAATTACATTAAGTTTAAAAAAAAATTCATTAATATTTGTCCCTGAGATTATTATTGATACATCATCTGCAAATAGTATTGTGATGCCGAGATCTTTGGGGAGTGCATCAATTATATCTTTTATATAGATGAGGAATAGGAGAGGTCCTAGGACTGAGCCTTAAGGGACTCCGACTTTGACGGCCTCATAAAGGGATTTTATCCATTTACTGTTTGGGTATTTTAGGAGAAGAGCCTGTAATCTATGTTGTAAGTAGGAGCAGATTAGTTTGAGGGCTGATTCATCGAATCCATAGTGTTTTAGTT